TACCCACGGTGAAAAATTCTGTCCCTTAACGCATGCGCAGTAAGGGAGAGAAATTAATGTGGAGCGGCCCAGGCTAAGAGCCCACATGTGCACTGGAAGAAGGGGTGAAGCCATCAGGAATTAATGCCTGGCCTCTTCAACTCATGTGTGGTGGCCAGGCACTCAATTTGTGAGGTGGAAAACCTGCATGCAGGACCCCTCTTTTTGTTGAGAGCTTTCCTTTTGCTTAATAAATTTTGCCCTCCTCACCTTTCAATGTGTCCATGTGCCTAATTTTTCCTGGTTGTGAGATAAGAACCCAGATTTAGCTGAACTAAGGAGCAAGACATCCTGCATCACTTGTGGGAATTGGACTCTGATTTGAAGGCAGACTTTGGATATGACCAGGGTGGCAGCCATGGAAGCTGCTAGTTGGACACACAGAGGCTCACACCATCCACATCCTCTTCACCCTTCCTTCTGTCTGCCATCATCACCCAGACACTGAATCTCAACCTTTTGGATGTCGAGGTGTCTCTCCCATTACCCCCTCTTATCTGCCTCCAGCTCTGCAGGCCTTTTACCTGGGTGATGCTGCAGGCCGAGCAGGAGCTTTCTCTGCCTTTCCTCTTTCTTCACTCCTGTCCTTCCTTTACTTTGATTCCAGAGTAATCTTTGTAAAAGAGTTATTATACAATCTGGATTTCTCATTTATTTATCCCCACAGTGCCTAGGCTCTTGATGATCTGAGCTTACCTTACCTTCTATCACTCCCTCAAACAAATTTTCCTCGCCACTGGGTTAATCACTCTGATCACGCTGTCCTGGGAAACCTACTGGCTTCATTTCTGCTTTGCATCTTGGCTCACAGCATCCCCTGGCAGTGGTGTCTTTGCTGGTGCTGGTGCATTTTCCTGTCCAACATCAGCCCTGCCCCAAGCCCGTGCCTCCTTATACAGACCTCTGCTTTGTCTGAAGTCCCACACAGCCCACAGCTGGTCATTTAATTATTCTTGGTTTGATGAGTCTCTTACTAATTCCAATGGCTCACAGAATCATTAGAATTTTGGAGCTGTCAATGATTTAAATGCATACTTTCCCAAGTGAAAGTAGAATTTAAATTTACATAGTCCTAATCAGATACCTCCTTTTTAGAGTGCCCCCTACCCAGCTACTGCTTTGGTCATATTAGAATGGGTCTGTCGGGGTTGTGGGGGATGGGGGGGAATACGGGAGGGACGGCAGGGGGTGGGGAGCTGGGGAGAGATAGCATGGGGAGAAATGCCAGATATAAGTGATGGGGAGGAAGGCAGCAAATCACACTGCCATGTGTGTACCTATGCAACAATCTTGCATGTTCTTCACATGTACCCCAAAACCTAAAAAGCAATTAAAAAAAAAAAAAACTCCAAACCAAACTCCCTGGGAGGCAATGCCTGTGGCCTGCTTTCCAGGCAGCGTGATTCCCTGCTGTGCGCTTTGAAATCAATCACAACCCTTACTTCCTGTCTGGAGTTTTCGAGAGAACAGTGACATGACAGCGCATTGTACATGAAGCAAGTTAGGGCATGTCCTGGCCAAGATCCCAGGATCCTGAGTTTCTTGTCTGATCCTGAGTTGAATTTATAGATCACAGTACATCTCTGGCCTCCTTGTTTCAAAGACAGAATCCCTTATGTCACAAGAAGCAGGACAGGAAAAGCCACATAGCAATCTGGATAATTTAAATTTGTAAGGATGGATCTCTTTTTCTAGAAGAGCCTAGGTAAATTCAGAGGTGACCTGTAATTCCAAATACAAGGGCAGGCGTGTACTGGAAACATGATAAATGCTTACTGGCTGCCTGACAATTGCAGGGCTCCCCTTAACTTTGGCCGTGGAGTATGGCTCTGATCTCAGAAAAAAAAATCATCCTCAAGTTTCCCTTTTCCTTGTCACATTGCTTGGGAAAGCCTTTCTCCAAATTCTCACCAGCTTGGGCTTTATTTCCTGCCTAATTTCTGCTTCTGCCTGCTTTGTTTTTTGTGCTTTTGACTATAGCTACCATATGGAGAGTGAGCTACTGTGGTGTTCCTCAGAAATAATCAAGCTTTTTAGTGTGTGTGGTTTTCTTTCTTTTTTTTTTTTTTGCAAGAGGCAGTATACTTCAAAGGTTTGGTCCCACATTTAAAGGTGGGTTGGAAATAATGGGCACTCAAGATGCTTTGGGCGATCAGAAAATTCCTCCAGCCCAGCAAGATTGCAGTGGTGTCAGAATTTGTTAAACAAAAGATCTTAGTGATTTAGGGTTAATTCTGTTTACAGTAGTAGGTGTTTACTTTGCAGCTTAGCAATAGAAGGAGGTGGGGTGAGTCATAATGTCAATTATTTTTTCTAACTTCTGTAATTTTTTCAGTTGAGAGAGCTTCTAAATCAGTGAAAAGAAGGTCATTTCTCCGTGGATTATCTGATTGAGCTGAGGCCCCGAGAGCAGCAGGAGCTGGGATGTGTTTGGGGCGGGTGGGGGTGTAACCTGCAGTGCCGCTGTGGGGTGCTCTGGCCCGCGGGGTCCTGGAAGCCCTCGACTGATCAGAGCACCTGGAGGGGCTGTCACCATGATTTAAAGCTCTGAGAATATGAATTAGCAGGAAGTAGGTGGATGGTGTCATTCTGGCCCTGAAAGGCTTCCATAAATCACCGGCACAGTGGAGCCCCGCAGACTTCCTCCCGCTGGTTTCTGGAGGCGCTCCTTCCCACTCTGCCCAGGCAAGTGGAAAGGAGCGATTCCTCGAGTGGATGGGTTATGGCCAAATGGCCTGCCCTCCCCACAGCTTGCGGATCCAGGCGGTTCGGTTTTCGCTGGAGCTTTAGGCTACATCCACAGACTGGAGAGCTGCAGAATCCTTGCTCCATAGTGGGGCTTGGGTTCTGGCCTTGGGAAGGATTTGACTTTGACAGTGGTGGTGATGAGGGAATTTTTAATGAAACAGATCCTGTCATGTCAGATCAACACAATGGAGCTCAGTCTGCGCAGTGGACAAGAATGGCGTGTTCCTTCCTTCTCCCCTTTGTGCTTTGTTAACAGAATGTCCCTGGCACTTCTGTGCTCCTGCCTGCTGCCAAAAGCTTAACTCTGCCCTTGCATAATACTGGGGGACACTGTCAGAAGGTCAGCTGGAAGTCCCTCATCCGAAGGCAGATGTGAGGGCTAAAGCCCTGCCAAGATCCCCAGGCCGATTTTCAGTGTTGAGGTTGAAACTTACTCCCTGCAGCCACCCCTGGTTTATCAATTCCTCCCTCTAACTGGGGTGGAAACTTGGGGTCCAAGGAGTCTTCAGAACCCCTCCATAATGCAGGAACACCCGCCATCGACTCCAAAAGCCGCACAGTGATTTCCGTCCATCTCTTCAGCTCCATACTCCAGCAGGCATGGAGGAACTAGAGCCACACCGAGGTCAGCAGTAGGGAACGTTGCCCCTTCACTCACCCACTTCTGTTAGGCAAGCGGTGACAATGGCATCTTACAGCAGAAAACGAAGTGGGAAATAGGACCTGCCAGCGGCTCCTGGGGTCTGAGCACAGGATTCAGGTGTCTTTGTACCTTGGCCAATTTGCATTCTTGCCTGCCTAGGAATGACAGTTCCTTTTAAAAACCACAAGTATAAGAAATAGCCCCAAGCCTAAGGTTCTTTCCCTTCCTTACCCTCTTTGTCTCTGTGGCTACTCAGCTCAGGAGGTGAGGTGATGTTTTTTCATGGTGCAGGGGTCAGAAATTTCTGCTCTGGGAGTGGGAGTTGGCTGGGCTTCTTCACTGTGGCCAGACACAACAACCTCAGCCATCAGCCTTACAAATGCTTGGCTGGTTTGTTTGTTTTGATTCCAAGGGGAATGGGAATAAAAAAGGAGCAACAGGCAGCTCAAATACCTCATCACTCCTGGAAACCACATCACTTCCCACACGCCGAAGGCAGCATATTTGTTCCCGCAGTATAGGCAGGTGGAGTGTCCCTAATCCGAAAATCCAAAATCAAAAATGCTTTAAAATCCAAAGCTTTCTGATCAGCAATATCATGCCACAAGTAGCGAATTCCGCACTTAACATCATGTGACAAATCACAGTCAAAAAGTATTCAAGACTTTACGTCAGGCACAACATTATTTTTATTTATTTATTTATTAAGACAGAGTCTCCCTCTGTTGCCAGACTGGAGTACAGTGGCATGATCTTTGCTCACAGTAACCTCTGACTCCCTGGTTCAAGCTATTCTCCTGCCTCAGCCTCCCCAGTGGCTGGGATTACAGGTGTGTGCTACCATGCCCAGCTAATTTTTGTATTTTTAGTAGAGATGGGGTTTCATCATGTTGGCCAGAATGGTCTCGATCTCTCGATCTCATGATCACCTGCCTTGGCCTCCCAAAGTGCTGGGATTACAGGCATGAACCACCGTGCCCAGCCATGTGCTGGGATTACAGGCATGAACCACCGTGCTCAGCCAGGCACAACGTTATTAAAATATTGTATAAAATTACCTGGAGGCTGTGTTTATAAGAATTAATATGTAAAGCATAAACAAATTTTGTCTTTAGACTTGGGTTCCATCTTCAACATACCTCATTACATATCTTTTTAAAAATTTTGACTTTGGAATATATCTCATATATTTAAAAAAATCTCAAATTAGAAATATTTCTGGTCCCAAGCATATTTATTTATTTATTTTTGAGACAGGGTCTCACTCAGTCACCAAGACTGAATGCAGTGGCATGGTCACTGCAGCCTCAACTTCCTGGGGTCAAGTGATCCTCCTGCCTCAGTCTCCTGCGTAGCTGGGGCTGCAGGTGCACCACCATGCCTGGCTAATTTTTAAAAAAATTTTTTTAGATATGTGGGTTGGGGAGATCTTGCTATGTTGTCCAAGCCAGTCTTGAACTCTGGGGCTCAAGTGATCTTCCCACCTTGGCCTTCTAAAGCGTTGGGATAACAGGTGTGAGCCACGATGCCTGGCATTTTTTTGTTTGTTTGTTTTTTAGAGATGGGCGGGGTCGGGGGGTCTAGCTGTGTTGCCCAGGCTGGATTCAAACTCCTGAGCTCAGCCTCTCAAGGAGTTGGGGTTACAGTCACACGCCACTGCACTGGCGGCAAACACCTCGGATAAGAGCAACCTGTAATCCATTTTCCACCTGCCTTTTGTTTGCTGTATCTATCCCAGCTCTGCTATTTTCTAGCTGTTTGGCCTTGCACAAGTTGCTTTACATCTGTATGCCCTACTTTCCACATCTGATAAATTAATATTATTTCATAGGATCATTATGACGATCAGATGAGATAATAAAGGTAAAGCTCTTAGAATGGTGCTTGGCCCCTAATAAGCACTCAAATATTGTTTTCGTCAACATCTTCTATATGTCTGTCTATGTATGGCTTTTGTGATTGTTTCTATTTTTAGTCAAGGATGACATCTCATTTCTCGCCTTTTCTTTGTGTTCTGAATTCAGGCTCTGCGAATCTACCAGCCATTGCACATTTTCAAGCTGAAAGACCATTTGTATTTCAGAACCACTCTCTCAAACATTCCTTTAGGGAACCGGCCGTTTTGAATTGCTCCTGTCTTTTCTCTCTGGTCTCCAGAACTGCGTATTCCAAGCCCAGCACAGTCTCAGCATGGCCGCCGTTTTCTCGTTTCTTTGTGAAGCGTCCCTATCCAGGCCGCCAGCCCCACGTTATTTGATTGTTTTCAGAACAGCCGGCAGGGGGCGCGCGTCAGCCGTTCCCAGCTTTCAGGCGAGGGTTTCTGACTCTCCAGGTGCTTCTGTTAATGAGCTCAGTGCCTGCAGATCTTTCAGCTTAGGAGAATAGAAAGCTTCCTTGGCATGGAGATTCACCGTGTACTTCTGCAAACAGAAGTTTAAAAGATAGAAAGCTGCCGGGCGCGGTGGCTCAAGCCTGTAATCCCAGCACTGTGGGAGGCCGAGGCGGGTGGATCACGAGGTCAAGAGATCGAGACCATCCTGGTCAACATGGTG